GAAAGTAGAGGAGGCTGAGCCGGGATTACACGAAGGAGGAATGCTGTGTGCGCACGTGCGAGCATGCACGCACGCACGCACGCACGCACGCACGCACCCACACACACACACACACACACACACACACACACACACACACACACACACACACACACACAACACACAGCACGTGCGCGTACACCACACGAACCCACCGCAAACGACGCCGGCAACCAACCTGCACGCAACGCCGCGCGACGCAGAGCACGCGAACTAGCACGCACAGACAAAACCACACACACGCAAACCGCACGCAACGCACGCCACGCACGCACCAAGCGCACGCGGCCGACAAGAACCAACACAACACAACCCACAAACAACCACACGCCACCCGCGCACGAACATCGCGCCACGCACCACACACACAGCGCACGCACACACACACAACCAACGCACGCACGCACGGCACGCATACACACACACACACGCAACGCACGCCGTGCACAATGGACCACTGTGAGACTCCACACGCCAAATCTTGCATGGATTGACACAAGGTTTCACATCACTTAGCGGAAGCAGCGGATTTCATGGGGGGCTTCAGCGCAGAAAGAGGCAATAACAAGAGAGAGAGGGGGAGGGAGAGGAAGAGGAGAACACAGGGTAAGGAGAGAGATACAGAGGGAGATGGGGGAGGAAGGGGAAGGAGGAGACACAGGGTGAGGAGAAAGAGAGAAAGAGAGAGAGAGAGAGAGAGAAGAGAGAGAGAGAGAGAGAGTAGAGAGAGAGAGAGAGTGAGAGAGAGAGAGAGAGAGAGAGAGAGAGAGAGAGAGAGAGAGAGAGAGAGACAGAGAGACAGACAGAGAGCGGTGCACAGACGGTGTAATGTAGAAGGTGTGGGAAAGACGGGAGGGATGGGGTAGGGAGAAAGAGGTGGCGTGCAGAAGGGCAAAAATGTGGCAGGGGGGAGCGGGGAAGAGAAGAAGCGAGATGGTGTAGCCTGGGCAAGAAGCAGGGAAGAAGGGGAAAGATGGGGGTAGGCAACTAGAGAAGGAGGAAGGAGGGAGAGAAGGGTGGAGGAAGGAGAAGACGAGACGCTTGTACAGGTCAAAAACCGCACACAGCGGGCCTAACACCGAACTAACTACGCACGCACACGCGGCCATCTCGCAATTCACGTGTGCGATGATTTATTGCCTAGCTCTCACATTATTTAAGAGTGTGGCAATATGTGGCAATATGTGGCAATCATCTATCGCTAGGCGCAGCGAGCGATGGCATGTACGCTGGCATGGCAATCACGGAGGATGCAAGCTTCCGTTCCGTAGCCAAATGAGGCAATTTTCGGGCGCAAAACCCGCTGCAATTTTGCGCGTAGTTACATGCCGCAATTAGCCAGAGTGACTGTGTAACTAGATTCGGCAATCGCCTCGAGTATAGCACGCGCGCTTCGCTTCCGACACCCACTATGCGAGCATGCCAATTACGTTGCCACGAATGTGGTGATGATCCACTAGTGACTAACTAAGCCATCGGAGGGTTTCTGCCCCGGGGGGATTACTGGCCGGATTACTAGACGTTACAAGTATACAACCCGATCCCCGATTTCCCGGGATAGTATCGAATTTGCGTATTTTAATTGCACCCAAATTTCAAAAGCTATATCTAGGTGATATTATATGTGTGTGTGTGTGCGTGCGTGCGTGCGTGCGTGCGTGCGTGTGTGCGTGCGTGAGTGCGTGCGTGCTTTATAAATTTGAGTGCTGACACAGCACCAACATGAGAGGCAGCATCATCCGTTGTTACGTATCCAAACATCTGTAACTATGAGATGCCCCCCGCACACACCGAGTGCACTCCCTCGGGCGTTGTCATGGTCACCAGCGCACGCGCGCGCGCGCAACTCTCGCTCGTCTGCCGCGGCACCACGACAATCGACGGTCGACAAAAAACGTGGTTCCGCAACGGAAGCCTCCTTCCCTGCTAACTATATAAACGCTGCACCTCGAACACCGGATTCAATCGCCACATTGATTTATCATATTCCTGGTGCGTGGGTTGGGCCGCCGTCGGGGGGGGGGGAGGGAGCAGCAAAAAACACAACTAACAAATACAGTAGTTCTCTCCGCCCCACCAGGAAACTCTAAAGGCATATTGCTCCAGACTACAAACAAATTCCACGTCCAAACACTAACTCTCGATATATCAGCTGAAGGAAGCCTGCTAACATCAACAGTTGGAAGCACCTCCTCGTGTCAATCGCCTCATTGATTTATCATATTCCTCGTGCGTGGGTTGGGCCGTGGTCGGGGGCAGCACGCTACTTGGCAAACTGCCAACAGCGTTTTGCCCCCGCTCGTCGCTCACCGCTGCAGCACACACGCATTTACGCTCGAAACTACGATAACGGCATATCGCGCGTCCCCCACGGGCCATCCACCCGCGGAGCGAGGTCAATCCAATACTGAAGGACTTCGCGTACGACTGTCGCGATAGCTAGGAGAACATCCATCGCGCGATGCTGACGACGACTGCACGATCTTTCGTCGTCGATCAAGCGAGCGATTCCCCACGGCCACTCTTCACAACACACTTCTCATGGAGTCAAGCCTCGGCGACCGAGCGGGGGGAACAGTGGGGGATGCGTGGACCGAGCGGGAAGAAAATTTAACCCAAGACCGCAGAGTCACCTAGTGAGTAAAAATGCAGTTATCCTGCACCGTAACCATGTTGGGGACCCAGACACTTACGGCAGCATTGTTAAGATGTATGTGATAACTAGTTTTTTTTTCCAAAGCTGGAGATTGGGGTGGTAGAATGGGGTCAGGGCAGAATGAGATATATTGGTGGAAATTCGGCAGATTAAAGCAGATGGAAAACTCCCGTAGGAGTCAAATGGATTCTGTAACGTGCACATTCTACAGGTACATGGAACACTTAGCTGAGAATCTGACGCTATCATGGTTAGACGTCACCTTCGTAATAGGCAGATTTGCATCTGGTTATGTCTAACTATGCGACTTCACAATTTGACCTACCATTTCCAAAACACCGTGAAATGATTTCGAGAAATTTATTCTCACAGGCCTGTATACCACAGGCAGGTACAAGGTGGTAGATATGTGTTCACGAGGAAACGTCCACCACGCATGCAAGCATCAAATTACAAGACTCCGATTTAATCACTGTAATTTAATGAAGTTACCGTGTATCAATACGACCATTACGCACAGGGAAAACAGTGTACGACTAATTATTGCAATTAACTACCCTACTGCAACGACTCACAGAATCAGCACAAGGAAGGTCGTGGTAACCAGGACGTCACCTGTCTGACAGTGACGTTACGATACCGCGTCTACGTGAAGTTTGTGGCTGGAGCGCCTACCTGGGTGCTTACTATTAAAGTCCCTGAAGTGGATGATGAGTCTAGCTATGAATCCCATGTACTCCTCCTATAAAAACGGCAAACAAACAGGAATGTATCTCGGGTCCGCACGCGCATTTCCGCCTCGTGTAGGTGTCGCTGTCGCGGCAGATTGGCACTGTTAGCGCTAAAAGAAATACCTCTCATTTAACGGCTATATATAGTACAGGGTGCGAAATTAACGATTCTGGAGTCAAATACTCCCTGATTTACTGTCGGACTCCCTGATTTGACATATGCAGGAGTCCGTGTGACTCCCTGAAAATTCTGCCATACGAACTAGTTCGTTCCGGAGCACGGCCTCGCGGAATTACTGTATTTTTTCAGCTAATGTCCAAAGATAATTTGGCAGACGTGCAACTGCATGAATCTTAAAAATAAGCACATGCGTTATTATTAAAGGGATCGTTTACTCTAGATTCTAGGGTTATTTTGAGTTAATTTAGGTTAAAATTACGCTACATAAAAAGTTTCATGGTTCAATCACCATTAGAAATATTATTAAAAAATGTTTTAAAACTAACGACTACAGTTTGATTATAACGACGGTAGCGCCACTCAAAGCGCACGATCTGATAAGTTTGCGCAAAACCACTTTTCAGCAAAGGGCTACAGACCGAGGGTGTTTCTTATTTATTAATTGAAAAGCAAAAGGATTGTAATATCTTATAAACGACATATAGTTTCAGTTATAATATGGATAAATTTGCCATAAAATGAATATCGTTCGGTTAAATAGCATTTAGGTATAAATATAATTGCACTTTTGTAATTTGCCCTCGGTATGTAACGTGCAAAATAAATTGTCAAATACGCAACTTTTTCGGGGTGGCAGCACGGTCGCGGGTATCATGGCACCGTTCAAATTTCGTAGCGTTGATGCGTAATTAAGTATAACAATTAAATTAGGTATCTGGTAACAAATACGTGTCGGTATAGACAATTTGTTATACAATAAGTACAGTTGTATGCAGTAAAATCCTAGAGTCTACTATCCCTTTAATATCTTTAAATTTGAACCTCAGACTACGGACTCCCTCATTTTGCTGCGGACTCCCTCTTTTTGAAAGCAGAGAGTCCAGTCCGTTGGACTCCCTTGTTCAAAAGTTAATTTCTACCCCTGTAGTAGCTATCACTCAAATTAAAACCTTGTAGTTTTGATGAACTCGTTTGTTGGGAAACAAGTCGAACAGCTGCCAAAACCAAGAAAGAAACATGAGATTGTCCCTGGAAGAATTAAATCAACTGAGAGAACCAATCGAAGGGGTAATGAGTAAATGCAATTCTCAGTAGACGCCGTCACTTTTGTAAACTTTTACTTCTGCAGAATCATTTTAAAGTTTTATCTTTGCTTTTCACATCATTCTCTAGGTAACAAACTAACCTAGAATTGGTATAAGACATGAAAACATGACTCACATGACCATAGCATAAAAAATTCTGCTGCATTCCACTCTTACACGATCACGAACGATAGAGAATAGCAATGACTGTGGTGTTACCATAATAGTTCTAACAGTGCCAACACACCCACAAGGGTCACAATTACAATCGTATAGTAGTGATTACAACTGCACACAAGTGAAACTACCTTGGTCTGAGCTTTGTTGAACACGTGTGTCTCCATGTCGTGAGCACTCTTGTTCGTGGGATTTCTCGATGCCAGCAAAGCCTCTTCACTGGAAGAAAGACAACCACATGCATGCCGTTTTAATATACCACATAGATATGTAGGCAGCATTGCATTCAATGTAATAACTACAGCTTGACTGAGAAATGTTCTCAGTTATCCACATGGCTTATAGCACACAAAATTATTCCTTCTCGCGCAAAAAAAATCCATTGTAGTGATCAGTGGCGTCACAACATGTTTGGGCTGGGGGCCTGTAAGCAAAAATGAAATTGGGGCCCTAAACATGAATATTTTTTGATGGACCGTGCGCCGAGTGCCGGAGGTAGGAAGTGTGAAGGGGGGGGTCTGGGGGGTCTCATCCCACCGAAAATTTTGAAATCTAGACGCTCTAAAATGCTATTTCCAGCATTCTGAGGCTATTTTGAAAGTATGGGGGCCCCTTCAGGCTGGGGGCCCGTAGCGTTTTGCTACGGCAGCTCTACGGCTGTGATGCCCCTGGTAGTGATATAGCCAAGCAGTATGTAATTAGTAAATACTGATGTGAAGAATGTTGAACGGAAGAATTTAGTGTCCACTGTCACTTTGAGACATGGTGACATTCGCATGTGTTCTGTTGCTAGTTTTTCTTACTATTAATAATTTAACTTTTAACCATTTAATTTTGCTATGAAAATTGTCTAAACTAGAGATTGTGGTCCTCAAGGCAGAATCACTGGCATGTCCAGTAATTCCTAGTAAAACTGTTCCTACCATAACAATTTTAAGTCTGCATAAAGGACGAATAGAATGAGGATAAAGATCAGAAGGATAAGGAAGTGGCAGGGAAGACGCAATAGAAAGATGAGGAATATACATCACAGGATAAGTAAGTATTTTGCAGCAGAGGAAGCAAGGGGACAAGCAGGGTGTTGAAGAAGAGAACAAGGTGTGGTGGAGGTCGTGGTGGAAGAGGGGAATGGAGAGGAGGGAATACACAAAGAGGAAGGCTGCTGTGCATAGGGTGAAGCAGAGAAGAAGAACACACACAAGAAATAGAGTGGGATAGGGTTAGGGTGAGATGAGGAAGGAAAAGTGTATAAGAGGTGCATGATGTGGATTCAAGACATAGGCCTAATACGTATAAAAATAGCGCTGAACAAAAGGGGCACAGAAACACTGCATGCATATTTTAATGTCAGTAGTGACACAGATAGAACCGCAGCACTTGGCATTCAAAAATGACATTGCAGGCTGCAGTCACGTATTGGTGACAAGCTAAGCAATTTCTCATAGTTAATATCGTAACCTCATAATTTATAAATAATAGTCTTCAAAGTCCAAGGGACTATATCGAAGACAGATAGAGACATGTTGATCAAATAGGCAGATCAACTGTCACGCGGATCGCAGTAGAAAAAGCCCCAAATTTGTAATTTACTAAAGAGTAAAGAGGAAGGGAGAGAAGCTTGACCCTTCGTGCCTTAGCTAGATCATAGATGTAGCTAGTGGCATAGCTCTAGTACTATAGCCGCTTACATTAACTGCCGCTGGGCTATAGACCGACCCATGGGGCATGCAATGGACCAACTTATCCCCAATGTATCCGGCTAAAAAAACGTCTGTGGTAGGCAATTAATGCCTCTTATCCGAAATGAATATGTCTTAAGTTATAGCCGCTACTAAAATTGAACCTCTAACTATCGTTGCAATGGTATACTTGCGGTATTTCTTGTGAACAAACATTCGATTTGCGAACTTCAAACGGCCATTTCTGGCGGCGCTGCAGCAGCGCCAGTCAGCGGGAACTATGTATTTCCGCATGTGGAGGGGTGGGCGGGTTGGGGTGGTTGTGGAAAAAAACATTGTTGTTGTCAAGTAACAAATTAAGCGATCAAAAGAGATTGTAATATTAGTTTTGTCATGAAAGATGAACAAATTACTATTATTAATTTGTTACTTGACAACAACAATGTTTTTGACCACAACCAACACAACCCGCCCACCCCTCCACATGCGGAAATACATAGTTCCCGCTGACTGGCTGGAGTAAGTTGGTCCCGAGCATTCGTAATGGTTGATGCTATAGCCCAGCGGCAGTTAATGTAAGCGGCTATAGTACTAGAGCTACTAGTGGCAATGCTTACATATGTTTATGTTTTGTTTTATTTAAGCGTAGTGTGCGTCTTGTCGTCGTGTACCCACAGCGGCTAGGCATTAAATGAATGCTACAAACAAATGTGCAAGTGTTTACTACTAGGAAATAGATTCGTACATGATACAGACTACAGACTACAGTACACCTACTGTACAGCGTAAAACATCCTACCGGTTACTACACTATTATGTGACTATAGTGCTGCCTGTTACGGTCGGCCAAATCGGGTGTACATATTTTACGTCATCAGTTATCACTATGATTACGCGCTTACATCTGAGCCCTCGCTTTCTGCCGTAACTCCGTAGTACGCCAACTTTGGTCGCCAACATTTCTCTGTTGTGCATCCGCCATCATTGCGCGTGTAGACGAATACGTAAGTATTCCAAACACAAACGCGTTCGCTTATTGGTCGCACTATCTACGGCGACATGATGACGTCATCGACTACCTCCACCACTGTACTCTGTACTCTACTCTGTAGTCTGTACCTTTGGTCTGTACTGCCACTGGCACTGCCACTGGCACTGCCACTGGTAACTGAGTGTTTTCGGAAAAATTATAATCACATTATTTCACTCAATTTATTTCATTTTTGATCTGCGGGTGTATTTTCCTTTACAGTAAGCTTTATGTTTACAGTAAGCTTTATGTTGATTACAGCGGCTTATTGAAGTATGACGGACAGTCCAGTAACCGTTCGCATAGGAATTGAGACGTCTGCTGTGCAGCTGAGAACAATATAATATATAATTATAATATTGTTATATATATATACAACATATAATACATATAATACATTTATATTGTTCTCGGCTGTACAGCAAGGAATGATACGATACATGTACAATGTATCCATATACTGTTACATATAGCTTCTTTGCTGTACAGATACCATAAACTATAAGTAGGATAGTAAGAAATGATGTAGCCACTTATTCCCACCCAATCATCATTTACTTACCAGCTGTTGCATACTTAAATTGAATATATAATTTATTTATGATTTTCTTCTTTCAGATAGCTCTGATGGAGGCAACAGAAATGGTGAACCATTTATATAAATGTCCCTGATTGTTACTAAGTCTACCAGATCAATTCTCTTCCATAAAAGATGATAGGGAGCAGAAGTATAGCATCATCCTACTAGTACCACCTAGTGTCTTATAAGTGATACACGTAACCATCAGATCTGCAAACACTAACAAATGTTAGTAAACGCTGTGATGGCACCTATTCGATGCCTCTGGATTTTGTATGTGCAGAGAGATGCCTATAATAACAGCACCCACGACACAGTTTTAAACACAACTGTTCTGTTCAATTGTTCTGCTTTACACTGCTATTACACATTTAATATATTGAAAATATATTTAAATATTTTTACCATAAGAAAATGTGGTAAGTTTGGTAACGATGGGGATGCAGAAAAGTGAAATAAAAACAAAGAAAAGTTTTTATTTTACATTTATTTTCTTTTTAACAACCAGCAACAATTGAACCAGTCAAATTCTGCGTGCTACCCTTCTATGACAATGTTCATTTTCTGTATAACACCACCTCATATACAAGTATGGCAAAGAATAGCAAGTAATGGCAATACGAAATTCAGGGAAATAGCCTAAATTTAATGGGAAATGCCAGATAATAATATTTATTTGGCTGCTAGCAACTGCTGAAAAAAATCCATCATGTATCATCCATTTTATCTCCGAGAAAAAAATAATGCAAAGCATCAAGCAGCACCTCGGACTTAAATGCACTGCAGTACTGAACACATAGGCATTTAAAACTAGCTGATATCAAAAACGTATAAAAATATATTCTACAAGTCGTAATGGTACATTTAAATTTTATATCGGAAGAGTTTCTATTAATGCACAAAGCACTTCGAAAAAGACGTGGAATCGATTCGATCTCCTCGATTCGATGGCAAACTGATTGCCTCCAATAAATCAATCCATAGTCAACAAATGTATCATTACATGGTCATGTAATGTACGATAATAACAATTCAATTTATCCTACTAAATATTCGCAAGTAATACACAGATTCGGTGTTACAGTCAATCACATGATCACAACTGAACATGAACAATGATTACTAGTCATTTACGTATGATTCACTAACAAAGCTTTCACACTGCAGCAACAACATCGGCTGTCCAGTAACCGACCGTCACACACCCAGCCAAATGCAAAACACGTGGAAGTAGACTTTACATTTCCTAAGCATTATATTATAGATAGATTTTCTATACAACTTCGTCTCGTCAAATAAAATGCATTTACCACAACGCATATACATTAAAACATGTCATAACACGGGCTTAAATACAGTGTAACGAACACACTTACTAACATAGAAATAATACGGCATAACAAACGCATTAACACACAGAATTAAATACTAAAGAATGACATAGAATGACATACTGGAATACTGTTTGATAAAACCCTGTGACGACATCTGGATACATATCGTAGATCCGTGTGCTCTGCTACATCCATCTGTCATTCACTAAATGTTTTGATTCATGCCTTGCAGTTTTAATGCTGTGATTTACTAGGTCACATTTTCTTATACCTGTTCCACGGTATATTGGGACCACTCTTTGGGTTATTGGGACCGTTCCATGGGTTTATTGGACTGTTCCATGAGTTCATGAGACCATTCCATGTGTTCATTGGCCTATTCCATTGTTACTGCTTACAGTTCCCTAAAATTTCTGATCTGTTTGATGTTTTTCTCTCAACTGTGTCACAGTCACATCTTTTCATGTGCCGTCGGTATGACGGTTAACCTCACAGTTTTCCACAGTCCCTCTCACAAATCCAGTACAGCTCAAAACACAACTAACAAATACAGTAGTTCTCGCCACCAGGAAACTCTAAAGGCATATTGCTCCAGACTACAATCAAATTCCACGTCCAAACACTAACTCTCAATATATCAGCTGAAGGAAGCCCGCTAACATAAACAGTTGGAAGCACATTCTCGTGACCAGAACCCTCTTCATTCCGTTCCGTTCCATTTCCGCACACAAAAGTGACGCTTCCTACATCCGTTGGCCAGGTATGTCTGATCACGTTTCGTCCAAGGCGGCGCCACCTCCACTCTCGTATCACAATGCCGTGTTCGGTGGCGATCGTGGTCAGCCTGCTATGGCTTCCAATATGGGCTGTTAGGAGAAGAAAACAATGTGGTCAGTCTTGCGTGCGGGTGGTCAATTCAGAGGATACGGCTTAAGAGCATTTTAATCGCCCAAACCCCAAACCATCCTCCTAGTGGTCCATCTCTAACTATAGATAATAACAGATGGAACTCATTACTTTATATAGTGTGTATAATACAGTGAGCCGCTCAAAGCCAGCTAGCTGAAGTGATGTCAACTTTCAGGGGCTAACATATTTGGGAAATTGAAATATAATTTTGATAGGAGAGGATTGATTACATGAATAAATGAAAGTGTCAATGACACTGTAGCTCACCACAAAAAAGAACACAAATGAGTGAGTAAGAAGAAGTCAGTTTTAATTGAGCAACCATCGACGTACATTATAGAAACGATTGCCATCTGTATATCGCAATAATAATCTATAAACCAAAATGAATCACAATTTGTGACCGTAGATGGTGCTATACCCGCTTTGTAGCGATGGCGTTTGAAATAAATAGGTTATGCTGCGTTCCGACATGTTTTGTAAATCTTTACTCTAATATAGACGTTTTATCGGCAGGGTGGAGAGGAAATATCAATTTTGCATTAAAGATATTGTCAATGAAATCTTGTAAAATGAACCAGACGAGTGTGACACCACAGACTGTTTGTGTCTATATAATATGCTTTATAATTGCCAAACCCTACCTAATTTGCATAATTTTTTTTTAAATATCAAAACCCCTAGCCCTTATTCATTCACATACCAAAAATGAGGAAAATCCGTTAAACCTGAACTGACTAATGGCAATTCCCATTTTTGCCAAAAAATTGCCGTGGCTCGAAAGTACGTCGACTGGCGTGCTTCAAAAGAGGACGTTTAATATGGGAGCATAGCAGTAACAACTATACCCAATTTCAAACATGTGGGCCAAACGGTTCCTGAGTTATCGTTGACCGAAACGAAATGTTGACGGACGGACGGACGGACGACAGACGACGACCCATGGCAATAGCTCAGCTTGACGATGTCAAGGTGAGCTAATATAAAATATATACGATGCATTTCCTATTCGTTTTATTTGTTACACTGGCAAGCACGACCACCCCTCCTTAATTATACTTCCACACCCTGCTCACCCTATCCTCATCTTTGCTACACCCCTATTTCATCCCACCTCCAACTGCCCTCATTCCATCTCCACCCACCCTCACCACCACCGAGTTTTCACGTGCAATGCCTTGGTCAAGTGTTGGGACCTCACAAGTGGCTGTGAAGGCCGTTTCTATGGTTACACAACAGCTGCAGGACGCCCTCGGAAACCTCGATGTGGAAATCCTGCCGGTAGCGCCGACTGTTTCGATCCGTGTCCACCAGGTGGTACCTGAACAAGTGAGCAGCGAGGAAGCGCAATCAGTCAGCCGGAACACATGCGCGGGATCGAGAGCAAAAATAGACGAAGTATGCATACCATAGTATGACATAGTATAGTATCAGGAGTAGATAATAGGGAAGGAGTGTGACTTCAATAAACAAGGGAAATTCGTCATTTACTAGCCTTATAATACCTACGATTTACTACGCGTAACTCATCCAACTTGAGCTCAAATCAGACACAGTACATTCGCCTAGCATCGTGCGAAATCGTTTCCTCTTATACACCAGCAATCCGAAGATACAGACTAAAACGTACGACACGATTATCCATTCTTTGGCCATCAATCCGAACATATTCCCCGCCGAACTTGCAAACAAAAGGCAGCTACTAATGCACTGTGGCTCACTCGGCAAGGCGGTGTGGCTCGCTGGGAGATTGGACATCGACGCAACACTCGGCGAGATAACCTTTGACCCGGCATACAGCTACATACCGGCATACCGGCATACAGCTGGTATGCCCCACACGCACGCACGCCCACCGCAATCTCCCTGTGAGCCACACGCCTCGCCGAGTGAGCCACAGTGCGTTAGTAGCTGCCTTTTGTTTGAATATAGGCGGGCAATCGGCTCGGATTGATGATCAAAGAATGGATAATCCTGTCGTACGTTTTAGTCTGTATCTCCGGATTGCTTGTGTATACGAGGAAATGATTTCGCACGATGCTACTAGGCAAATGTACTGTGTACGATTTGCGCTCAAGTTTGATGAGTTACGCGTAGTAAATCGTAGGTATTATAAGGCTAGTAAATGACGAATTTTCCTTGTTTATTGAAGTCACACTTCTTCCCTATTATCTACTCCTGATAGTATGAAACAGCATGGTACAACAGCATAGTAATAAATACTATAGTATGACATAGCATGGCATGACATGGTATGGTATGACACTTAATGGCATGATGTAGCTTCACATAACACAAACACAACTGGCTCCAGTGTGAGTACGGACGCTACTACTCTGACCTATGTTGACAAGTCAGTATATACTGACTGGCAACGCATGCCTGCCAAATTCAGACTAGTTGTGTGATGCCGTAACTGCATGCACAGTGACACTGATAGAGCTGCGAGCCCATCTAGGATTACTATAGCAGAGTGCAAAATTAACGGGAGTCCGGAGTCAAATACTCCCTGATTTACTGTCGGACTCCCTGATTTGACATATGCAGGAGTCCATGTGACTACCTGAAAATTCTGCCATACTAACTAGTTCGTTCCGGAGCACGGCCTCGCGGAATTACTGTATTTTTTCAGCTAATGTGCAAAGAAAATTTGGCAGACGTGCAACTGCATGAATCTTAAAAATAAGCACATGCATTATTGTTAATATCTTTAATTTGGAACCTCAGATTGCGGACTCCCTCATTTTGCTGCGGACTCCCTCTTTTTGAGGGTAGGGAGTCTGTTGGACTCCCTTGTTCAAAAGTTAATTTCTACCCCTGCTATAGTCAGTAAGTGTCCCTGGGATTCACCAAAAGGGTGAATACTAACGGTCTGTAGCAAAAGCCAGACAGACAGACAGATGGACAGACAGATACACCGACAGAGAGAGTCAACTCCTGCTCCTGTTCCAGTTACATAAAGAAAAAGAGAAAGAGAGAGAGAAAGGGAGAAGGAGAGAGAGAGAGAGAAGAAGAGGGAGAGAGAGAGAGAGAGAGAGAGAGAGAGAGAGAGAGAGAGAGAGAGAGAGAGAGTAGAGGAGAGTTTAGCATGAGAGAGAGAGACGAGAGAGAGAGAGAGATTTGCGGTCCCGCCGCGGGCCTGCCCAAGAGAGCGGACAGAGAGGGAGAGGAGAGGGGAGAGCAACCGCGAGGAAGAGATTAACAAGTGCGCAGCAGCGACAGCCGCTCAATCTAACGTCTACTGCCGAGTGACTCCTGTGGTGGCAGCTCGGGTGAAGTTGATCCTTCTAGTAAACCCTGTTAGTCGGGCCAGATGTTTCCATACCCACGCGGCGACCACACAGTAGGAATAGCACAGGGCCCCTTGCAGCTTATCAGGAACCCCATTCTCAACCATAGAAATGTTCTAGTTGCGTCGAATCGTTTATGAAAGTTGCCCACTGGAGGATGGCGCGTACGCTTTTTTAAGTGTTCTTTCAGATTCTCCGAGGGAAGCTCCCATCAATACGTAGTAGCAACAACTATCTGCAAGACAGAATACGTTTAAGCACTCATCTATTTACCTATACGCGCTTCAGCCCTAAGCAGGCCTTGCGCCAAATAGAGAGCTTGTTTTCCACTGTTTACACGCTCCCAATTTTAATATAGGTCACACCAACCTCCACCAGTAACACCAGTAAACAAATATTAGTACGCCACTGCCGGCACTGAGGTGGTCACTACAGTCAACCTGCTCAACCCACTAACTGACACGTACCAGTCAATTTGCCATAGAAATGCTATCAGTCGATGTTAAGGCCACGCATAACCTTCTGTTAACTTCTTGAATCTCCGCTTTTCGAAATTTCACCTGCCCTCGCACTTGTGTAGCTCATTGACATGTCTCAGACACCCTTGCTATAGATATCTTACTAGCCCAAAACCGCGCAGTCAATTCTTCTTCTAACGGAACACTCAACCAAAATCCAGTTTTAACTCCTCCTCTGACGGCGCCTCAACCAAAGGGTTATCTGACATTACGCTCCTTTCGCATGACTCAGCGGAACTCCCAACTAGTATTTTTCTATTGGTTCTTTTTTCTGATTCTAATGCCAAAGTAAAATGCGTACGGCTCACCCGCATACCCGTACTATTTAACAAAATTATGCCTTTTCACAGTCGACTCCGTCAGCCCATTGCCTCCTCCAGAAAATGTCTAAAACTCTGCCCTGTCGGGTCCATTGTGACGTTCTTTCCCTGCGTGACCCTCGCCTGCCACCTCCAATTTCAGCACCAGTGAATGGCTTTTCCTACCATGATGCTACTACACGAACTATCACGAGCCAGGGTCGAGCCGTTTAGTTGTGCCGCAATTCTGCATTTCCTCCCAATACCCTTAAGTTAAGGAGTGAATGTTCCCTTTTTACACCTCTTGATTTCCTTTGACCCCAGCTTCAACAGCAGCAACTCGTTTGACTATCCCCCCAGATGTGCCGAATATCGTGACCGGTACGTCGAGCGAGTTAAGATTTGCTGCCCAACTGTGACGGACGCTCGGACGGCACGGACGCGACGACGACGGACGGACGGCGATCGTGCATTCTACAAGCTGATCTGACTATGTCAGATGAGGCTAAAAAGGAGATATGAAGACGGGAGAGAGACTAGAGTAAAGGAGGGAGGAAGGAGAGGGAGAGAGGGAAGAGATGAGAGAAAGAGAGAAAGAGGGCGAGAGAGAAGAGAGGGCATGAGCTATAACCCACTGTAGTTAACCATCATGCGCGAGGAATCGGCTTAAGCCTGCGCGCGCACTGTGATTGCCAGACCAGTGATCCGGCCCACGCATCGCACCGTTGCTCAGTGGAAGTTTGCCTGCAACCAAGACGTAGACAAATCGAAGAATAGCCAGTATACTCTCCCTTATCGCCTCCGACACTCGTTTGTTATAACATGACCTGTCTCTGGTTTCTACGAGGCTTTGTCAGAGCCACCTGTATCCCACTGTGGCCCATGTAGATTTTTTTTATTCGTCACGAATCGTTATAGCATCCAGCGTTCAACCTTATCCCAAGGGCACCCTCCGCTCGACACTGAACTCTTATTTTTTCTCAGTGGCTCCGATCCGTCGGCCACCACCCCACCAAATCATTGATTTCAATTTTGCCCGTGCTCCGTCCGAGAAATGAAACTGGTGCCCGAAAAAAAACAAAGAAAAACATTATAAATCTTTATTTCAATCTCGTATTGTTATTTATTTTGAAAAATTGCGCGCCGTTCTGCACTGCTACTTGCACAAGTCGATGTAGAACAAGACCCTTCCTACAATTACCCCACGTTCTGCTGCAGGTTTCGTCGGAATCCCGAACCACAGTGAGCCACCAAGCTCGCAGCGAGCTAGCAATAGCGGCGTGACCAGAACCGTCCCGTATTGTTTGCCCCAATCTTGTCCCGTGCCTCCGCTCAGCCCGCTACCACCCGTGTATGCCCGCCGGTAGACATGCCTGCACGCTGCAAGTACTGTGCCCTCGTTCCGACGAATTGTGCTCGCTCTTCTCTTTTGAATGGTTAGATGGTAAGAAACAATGTCATTTTTATCACATAGTACACTTTGAAATTTAGTGCCGATCGGGGCCACAAAATTTTTAACTTTCGCGAAATTTTGCGTGGCCGTGACCATCAAGAGTTTGCGTGCCCGCGGCACCGGGCACCAGCTAGTGTCGAGCCTCTGCCTTATCGCTCGATGTAGTAGGGACCTGGACGGTCGCAGCATCATGTGTATCCCCCATGTAGAATTTGGTTGAGCTTTGCTCTTCGAGGGCTTCCAATAAGCCTGTAGAATATGTGACAAACCGTCCGCTTCGGTATTTACTATCTGGGGCCTTACTTATACTTGTGACACGAGGAGGCAGCATCTTTGCACTCTCACCAACAGAGGCCAGCACCATCAAGCACTATCCGGTTCAGTGACACTGCCCAGAATTAATGCGGGCGGCTACGCTAAAGGTTTCACCACTCATGCTCGCCAGCCAAGCGTTGCAGCACGTTGAACGGCAGGCATCCTTAAGGGGTTGCGGGCCAACTAGAGTGCAGCAGATGTCGCGGGCCCGGTCGGACGGCTAACGTTTATCCGAGGGTTCGCCACCAGGGCGGCGAACGGCGCGGCGGAGAAGCGGGGCACGCGGTACGTCACCCACCGTAGTGTGTGACGCGTCGCCACGACTGGCTTTCTCCAGGTAGAGGTGTGCGCAACACAACCTCATCAACATCGGCCTGAAACGCGTCCCCTAGACTTCTCATCCGCCATACCAGCCTGCGCGAGCTGTATAGACACGGAACACACCACCCGAGGGCACCAGCCGCTCATCAATAATTTGTCTCTTGCACTATTGACAAGCTGATATATATATTATAAACGGAGTTAATTGAAGACAAGAGTCTTGATTACGTATTTGGTCTGATTTTACTAGCATTTTCTTGTCTACTGAGTATCGATGTGAAAGAAAATACAAATGGTATACAAACATGAGTTCGGTTTGTTCAGCTTGCGGTCTTTCCCTCCTCCTCCTTATCTTTTGCTGTATTACAAACCGCGCTAGCTTTCCTTCGTTTGTGACCATAAATCATACTTTTTGCAACGGACTACTGGTTTTCACGTTATTTTTATCCGTCGTGTGGCGTTGCCAAGCCAAGACCAAATTCTCATGGCACAGCAACTCGCAAGGAGGCGCGGCAGGGAATTTAGGACCGTATAGTCTAGCGAGTGCCAGAAAAATGCGCTTAGAAATTGAAAAACGTCATTTTACATGATAAACCTATGCCAAGTTAGAATGACTGATTTTACTGATATAAATACAAGCATTGTTTTTTTTAAATAAACGCTTGCGCTGGTAAAAATATCTGAACTACTGCACCCGCGGAGAAGATGATGTGTCATGAATCTTAGCGAGTAACATTGACGCTCAGTGATTGTAGCTTTTCGCACATGTGTTTTGCCATAGCAACCGTTAGCTCTAGTAAACTTACGCCGCGTACAGTTGTCCGCTGGACCTGCTGTAGCAATCCCTGCCGCGCCTCCGTCGAGTTTGCTTGTGCATCGTGAGAATTTGCGGTCTTGGCAACGCCACCCAGTAAATAACGTGAACAAACCATGTCAAAGCAAAAAGGATGATTTAAATAGAATAAGGACCAGTGAACAATAGAAGCTCATGTTTGTATACATTTTTATTTTTATTCACATCGAACTCGTATGACAAAAATGTAGTGAAATCAGTACCAAATAGGAGTCGAACTCCTTTGTCTTCATTAACTCCTGATATATAAATATATATATAATATTTATAGAGGGAAAGGAGGATGCAGGTTGCACCGGCGTTCGGGTCAGAAATCCATGTTATCTACGGCGTACGCGGTGTTGCCACGTTTGTCAAGTTTGTGCACTTTTTTTTAAAAGAGTTTATAATTGTGACATTTGTGAGCAGAGAATAAAGACGAGTTGAATCAGTCTCAAGGGTTACTTTAATATAATATAGTATAGTATATGTACTATAATTAATACAGCACAACATCAAGAGGGGATAAAAACTATTTGTTTTTATTCACTTCTGATAATATAATAATCAACTCTCTTAGATTATTATTTGAGATTATTATTTGAATCAATTATTGTAACATCCTGCAATTAAATAGCAAAAGAATGACAAGTAGTTATGCATGCAATAGTTCAGTCAGTGCTCACCAGGGTGTGTTTTATCGTGGTAAGGACACTAGGGGCGTCTGCTGGTATCTGGAAGACGTATGCAATGGTGATCACTTCTCCAGCGCTCAGCGGGCAGGAATGCTCAGCTGTCAAACAAAAACAAGTAAGCAGTCTTTGAGAAATCTAGGAGACTAAATTTTCTTTCTGTCTGATTGTCTCTCTCTCTCTCTCACGCTCTTACACTCTCGCTCGTTCTTTCTCTCACTCTCTCGCTCTCTCTCTCTCTCTCGCTCACACACACACACTCTCTCTCTCTTTCTTTCTATCACTCTCGCTCTCAAATGTCTCTCTTCTCTCCATCTCCCTTCTCTACCATCCCTCTTCGCACTCGTTTTACCATCCGCCTCCTCCACTCACCTCCAGCCCACCACCCACACGAGCGCTCATACCGGGATGGGATAGGTACATGTTGATCTCTCCCAGTAACCAGCTGCGGAATCCCGGAATCGGGGAGAGGCTCGAGAACTGCTGCAGCTGGGAGAATTCCTTCAGGATCTCTGTCACTGTTCGCTTGATTAGGTGGTAGCCCAGTTCTATGCCCTGCAGACCTGCCACAGACATCAACAGCCGCACAATCAGCGTCATGACGATGATAACGATAGTACGGTGAAGAAGAAGATAATGATGATAATGTTGATGATGATGATGATGATGACGACAGTAAAGTGATGATGATGCCGATAGTAAGGTGATGATGATGATGATGATGATGATGATGATGATGATGATGATGACCTTGCTGATAGTAAGTAAGTAAGTAAGTAAAAACATTATTTAACGACGGTAAAACATGTTAGGTACAGACACAATAAATTGGCGCAGACCTATCTTCCACATGGCCGTCTCACAGCAACAGAACGATTAAATATTAAAAAAATACACAATTAGCAGTTGTGAATTACACTGTTACAGCAGTTGTTAGCATACTGTTACAGTTTCGAAGTAAGGCAGTCTTTGTGCAACAAAACAGAATGGTTACCATGGTAACGTATAGCAGCACTAGCTTACCTCGCTGTGTGGAGGTGATGGAGTAGAAGTTGGCGGCAACAACCTTTTTTGGATCTTCTTTCTCATCCTGAAGGTTCTTTGTGTCTGCCAGCGATACCAATGACTGTAGCAAAGTGCAGAAAAACACATGAACATGCTTGTCTTGCTGGCAAGAGTAATCCACATCGAAAACTCTATGATAAGTCATATAATAATATTAGCCATATAAGTAATATTCTCCAACAAATGCATTAAGTGGGGTTTTGCACTCTGAGTGCACGGTTTAGTCGCATTTCATATTTACACTCCGTGCAAATCTTGTTTTATGTTTCAAGGAATTCCAACTCGTCTATTTTCATGCAAGTACTTCTTTAATATCCATCCTCACCCACACTATTAAGTAGCAGTCTGCATTCCAAATGCCTCTGTTAAGTACTACTCTACTTTGAAGTACTTTCCCTCAGATACGTAGAATGATGTATTATAATTCCCAACCATTCTACACTATGCTCCATCTCTACATTCCTATCTCACTACTCTACATACGCTACCAATACAATATGCTGCAGTGATATGTTTTGTCCATCGGCGCACTGATGCACGTTCCCACCCCACTCGTACCTCGTATTGATCTACTGTCAGTTGGCTATGCTCTCCCTCTCTCCACGCACGCACGGACACAGACATCTGCCTCACCTGTACGTTGTTGGCTATGCTCTCCCTCTCTACACGCACGCACGCACAGAGACAGCTGCCTCACCTGTACATTGTTGGCTATGCTCTCCCTCTCTACACGCACGCACGCACAGAGACAGCTGCCTTACCTGTACGTTGTTGACTAAGCTCTCCCTCTCTCCACGCACGCACGCACAGAGACAGCTGCCTTACCTGTACGTTGTTGGCTATGCTCTCCCTCTCTCCACGCACGCACGCACAGAGACAGCTGCCTCACCTGTACGTTGTTGGCTATGCTCTCCCTCTCTCCACGCACGCACGCACGGACACAGCTGCCTCACCTGTACGTTGTTGGCTATGCTCTCCCTCTCTCCACGCACACACGCACAGAGACAGCTGCCTCACCTGTACGTTGTTGGCTATGCTCTCTATCTCTCCACGCACGCACGCACAGAGACAGCTGCCTCACCTGTACGTTGTTGGCTATGCTCTCCCTCTCTCCACGCACGCACGGACACAGCTGCCTCACCTGTACGTTGTTGGCTATGCTCTCCCTCTCTCCACGCACGCAC